TTACTTTATTTCTATTTACATGTTAGCGGCAGCTTATTTTTAATAGTTGTCAAGGGTAGTTAACTCCTCGTTTTTTTAAATGGTTTTACGATAGGGACCCAGCTTGCATGGGCCTTAAGAGGCTTTGCAAGGGTAGTGTCCAAATGGCGGGTGGCCCGAAGCCACGCGGCCATTAAGGGTCATCAAATACATTGGCCATGAGGAAACGTGGAAACAGTTAAAAAAGGTAAAGTGATTAGGCGCGGCTTAGCACTAACCAACAAAGATACTGTTGTTAAGGATCTGGCCACGGAGTGGGGAAGGCAAGGGTGCCTTCTGGTAAGAGGACTGTGAGGAACAGCATGGCACTTACCGCAGATTCTCGAGTCGGGTAACATCTAAACCTAACATCAGAAGTGGGATCGAGAGACCGCGAAGTTAGTTAGATTGGTGTTGCATCTTTTTGATCGATAAAATGAAGAGTGAGCAAAGTGAACCGCGAAACACTGAGTCGTCTTTGGAAAGCTTATTCCGCCGGTTCTTAGAAACGGTCGCGAGTGGAACGATAGTTTCCGCGGCATCCGCGACGCCCAATCGTTTCGTCGAAGCAGTGCCTGAATTCGGTGGCGGCGATATCGGTAAGGACGCACAAAAGTGATGTGATTTAGTGGAGTCGATAACCGATAAACTGCCGGCCGTTCAAAGACTGAGTTTGGCCACTCATGCCTTGACGGGCCCGGCTAAGAAATGGTACAAGGACTGGGAGGGCAATCCGCGAACATGGACGAAATTTCGCGAAGATCTGGGCTTCGTATTTGTATCGGAAGACCGGTTGTGCGAGCGTTTGACTCGTGCAGTATCCTACACCAGTGACTCCGCGAATTCTTACTCCGAGTATGCATGTAATAAGTTAAAGCACTACGGACAGACCCAGATCGATTTCAAACCACATGAACTGATCAGTCTAGTGATTGGTCACGTTACGGACGCGAGTGTGTGTCAGTCACTCAATAACGCTCGATATACGTCCACCGCTGATTTGCTTAGCAGGATTGTCCATTTCGTGAAAGCGCCGAATAAGGAGAAGGGTGATCGTTCACTCCGGAACGAGCCACGTGAATCGCGCGGATCTTCTCGCGAATATCACAGACATGTGACTACGAATCCAGAATCCCCGCAAGCGCGTCCCTTCTCTCACAAACGGTGCTTCAAGTGCAGTGAAGTGGGACACATAGAAAGGGAGTGCCCTAAGAAGAGGAATAGGGAAACGAACAATACGCTCCGGAAGAAGGTAACTGCGGATAATGTGACCACGTGCGCTTTCTGCCACAAGCGGAGGCACACAAAATTGGCGTGTTGGGCCAAGCAACGCACGCCATCAAATGCCCAGCATAAAAAAAAACCTGAGGCTAACGTGTGTTATTCGATCGATCATAAATTAACACCGATTTTATTGAAGGACATGCTTGTGAGATCGTGTTTGATTGATAATGGTGCAACGTGCTTTCTCGTAAGGGAGCGGGTGGCTAAACAAGCAGGGTGTAAAATTGAACCGTACGCGGTCAGCGTCCAAGGACTATGCGACTCCAGCACAACAACGACGGGATGTACGATAATCCAAACTCAGGACGTATCCACCGAGCTGGACTTGTTTGTCGTCCCGAATGAGGGAATACCCTATGACGTTATCATCGGGAAAAACGTCCTGGCGCATGCCGACTTACAAATTGTGACTGGACCAGATGGGACAACGCGACTTCAACGTTGCACGCCTGACTTCCAAGGAGACAACGAGGAAGCGGCGAGGGCATCGTGCAACATACTGCATGTTTCTAACGACGTCATCCCGAGAGCCGTCCGAGACTTATTGACGAGATTCAAGCAAATGCTGACCACTGGTAACGAAGTGTGGTGCGTAAGTACAGGAGAACTACGTATTGTTATTCAAGAGAATAAGCTACCACCTTTATCGCTTGTCAATTACCGAACGCGAGAAGATGCAAGAGATTATCAACGATTTATTGCGTAATGATATCGTTCGCGAAAGTAATTCGCCGTTCGCGAGTCCTGCCATCCTGGTAAAAAAGAAAAACGGGAAAGGCCGTTTATGCGTCGATTTTAGAGCCCTAAACAAAATCACTGTTAGGGACCGATACCCTCTACCCTTGATTGAGGACCAATTAGACCGCCTGGGTAAGGGTAAACTTTTTACGACATTGGATATGGCAGCTGGATTTCACCAAATCCCGATTGCTGCCGATTCGATAGATAAGACTGCATTTGTGACGACCGATGGGCATTACGAGTATTTACGTATGCCCTTTGGCCTTTGCAACGCGCCTGCTGTTTTCCAGAAGGCGATTAATACAGCCTTCGGTAGCCTAAGAAATAGTACTGCCCTAGTTTACCTAGATGATATCCTGATACCATCGCAAACTGTCGAGCAAGGGCTACGTGATTTAGAGCGCGTATTGGAGGCGTTGGACAAGGCGGGATTTACATTGAATATCGAAAAATGTAAGTTTTTCGAGACCTCGATAAAGTACTTGGACCGGGAGATATCCGCCGCAGGTATAAAGCCGGACAAAGAAAAAATTAAAGCACTGGTAGAATCACCGGTCCCACATAATGTGAGACAGGTGAGACAATTCACTGGCCTGGCGAGCTACTTCCGCAAATTTATACCTGAATTCGCGATACGGACTGCCTGCATTTCGAAGTTAACTAAAACCAATGAACCGTGGATTTGGGGCACCGACCAAGATGAAGCGCGGCAGTATATTATAAGCAAACTCAGCATGCAACCGTTGCTCGTGATTTTTTATCACACATGGCAGACGGAACTCCACACAGACGTGAGCTCGATTGGTTACAGCGCGATACTTTTCCAGAGAATAAATAACGAGTTACGTGTAGTTGCGTATTTCAGCCGACGCACCACAGCGGAGTAATCGCGTTATCACTCCTACGAACTGGAAACACTGGCGATTGTGAACGCGATAAAACACTTTCGCGTGTATTTACTGGGTATTAGATTCAAAATCGTGACAGACTGTAACGTCATCAAGGCTACGCAGAAAAAGAAAGACTTGTTACCACCGGTAGCGCGTTGGTGGAGTTTCCTACAAGACTATTTGTTTGAGATGTGCCGAGTTTGATTGCTGATTTCCGGATAGGATGTTGTGAGTTCGCGATAAAATAATTGAGCACGTTGTGATGTTTAAAGCGCGTTTAATATATAAAAAAGAAATCACATTTACAGAAGTCGGTTGATTAAATATAGTGAGTGAATACGCGTCGCAGAGTTTAACCCGAGTTTTACCAAACGTGATTGATTCACGTGATTGTTCCGATGATGATCACGATGTTATTGATCGTGACCGTTACACAAGAGTGTGATTTAAACTACCGAGATTCACAGAAACTCGGCCCGTGAAATTATATTAATCACACGGAATTTGAGTTCGATTGTCCCTTAGCGATAACTCAAAAAGAGTGAGAGTAACAGGATCGCGAGTACAAGAGATTTGAGAGTAAATCCGAACACGTCCGCACTGAGTAACACCTTAATGAGCAGTAAGGATCGTTGGCCGTGATAAATGGCTGATCCTTCTTCGATATTAGTAGCGCGTGGTGCGCATTGACGTGACTCATCGTGATTGGTGCGATCGATCCTCGCATCGATCGCGATGATTCTACAGTTTTCCATCGAGTGCGCCTTTACCCTAGAGTTTTCATGTGCGTGCGCCTTTGGCGGTATATCCTAAAGGATCTTTCTCAAACACTATTCTTTTGATTTAGAGCATCGAAAAGGAAAATATGTTGAGCACGTTGATTATTTATGCCGGAACCCGTGCAAAGACTTCCGCGTAAATACTATCTGTGTGGGATCGTGGTTAGAAGTCGCGCAAAGGAAAGACGAAGAAACGCAAGACTTAATCAAACGACTTGAATCAAACGATACCGTGCGTACGGATTTCGAACTGCGAGAGGGTACACTATGCCGTAGAATACCGAGAGACACCGGACGGATAGTTTACCGTAGCTTCGTTCCGAAAGGGAGTCGCCCTGGCCTATTACGCCTATATCATGACGAAAATTGTCACGTAACCTTCGAGAAAACATACGACCGCGTCGCACAGAAATACCGGTTCCCTAAAATGCGTAGGTTCATTAAAAAATATATCGAACACTGTATCATTTGCACCGTATCGAAACGGCACACGGGCCCGAAGCAAGGATTATTACACTCGATCGACAGGAAAGCGATACCTTTTCATACTATCCATTGCGATTGTGTAGGGCCATTTGAACGATCAAAAGACGGTTACCAACACATCCTGATTATCGTGGATGCCTTTACGAAATATGTACAGCTGGTTCCGCTAAAATCTTTATCTGGCCCGGAAACATTGCAAGTTTTTAAAGAGCGGTTAACGTTATTCGGTACACCCAAAACCGTGGTAATGGATTGAGCTACGAATTTCACGTTCAAGCCATTAGTTCAATTCATCAAAAAACACGGGATCGAACTGCATTTTATTGCCACAGGAGCACCTCGTGCAAACGGGCAGGCCGAGCGGTACGTTTCGACCGTAATAAACCTACTCACCGCGGATATAAACAAAATTACAGAATGGCCGAGCAAGCTGGCTAAATTAATGCTATCCTTAAACACCACTGTTTAGAAAACGACCGGATTTTCACCGTCTCGCTTGCTCTTTGGCATAGAACGGAGTACGGCTATTGCCGATCTCGCCGAAACCGAATTACCAGACACGAACGGTCAAACTAATATCGTTAAAGATAGGGAATTAGTAGCAGGTAGACTGACGGAAAACGCTCAAAGACAAAACGACAGATTCAACAAGACGCGTAGAGTTAACGTGACGTACGAAGACGGTGACACAGTTTACGTTAAGCCAGCGAACCTAAGGCGCGCAAAACTAGAACCCAAATATGTAGGCCTATTCGTAGTATCTAAAACCTTAACAAATGAACGTTACGAGATCGTGGGGAAAACCGGAAAACTTCAAACGGTGCCAAGAGACCGTTTAAGATTATGGAAGGGTGAATGGTCTGGTGATACCGACATCAACGAAATTTGGAATGATGAGAATGATGACGATGAGCCGTGTTAGCGGACTCGATAATGTACTAAACTTCCTATTATCTGTATGATGTTTGTAATACCACTCGTAGACGATTAAACAAAACCTGCACAATTCACACTAACTTCTTCCTTTACGCCTAACATCGGTAAAATACTCGCGGGTGTTACCCGCTTGAGCAAGGTATTTGCAGGCATCGTTGTTACGTGCGGAATAGATAACGGCACTATGTAAAGCTGCTTCTCGAGTGACATAGCCACGGACTTGGAGAAGTATTTGAAGAGTTTGAAAAGCACATGTGATGGGTAACACAAAGTGGTGGCTGCTAGCCGTGTTACGTGGAAACTGTGGATCACTGGCTGTTAGCCATGTGATAGGTAACACAAAGTGGTGGATGCTAGCCATGTTACGTGGAAACTGTGGATCACTGGCTGTTAGCTATGTGATGGGTAACACAAAGTGGTGGGTGCTAGCCGTGTTACAGATGAGTCTGATGATTGGCATGTTTGTTTGTGTGTATGCGTTTTGATCGGAACTTTACTTGCATTAGGGCAAGAGGTCATGTGTATGGATGCTTCC